GGGGGGGGGGGGGGGGGTCGAGGTATCAATATATGCAGCTTTCTTTGAAGTGTGGCGCCTTCGTGTATTCGAGCGTCTCTCTTGAAGCTGCAGGGGTGGAGGGAGGGAGCACGCAGAAGATATTGCTTGCGGGACAGTCGGCACAAGGGCATTTCAGACGAGCCGGTAGAGCACCAAGGGAGGCCAGCGAGCAGTGGTACGCGGTTGCCGCTCGCGAAGTAGAACTGCGGGACACAGCCTCTTCCAAGACGGCGTAGCGCTTTTTACGCCTGGCAGATAGCTTGCTTAATGGCGTACGAACGACACTCGATGGAACGGATCCAACATTTTCTACGGGTCCCGCAAAACCACGCCTCCCGACAATCAACCAAGCCGAACTACGCTGTGATGGACAGGCGGGGCTAGAAAAGCGGGCCTGGCGTAAGGCGTCACTGCAGGAACTGCTTCGACAAAACTGACCGCAGCAGGCAGGTTACGGTTGGTCGGGCAGCCAACAGAGCGCAAGAAGCTCAGAACGCGCCCGTACCTGACTTTCATGAGGTACAGCACAGAGCTGGTATACGAGCTGAAGAGAGCGTGCAGAGCCACCATCTGGTAGGTGTGAAGCACGGCCGCCAGCGTGCACCTGAAGGTTGTGGGGGGGGGGCAGCAATGACGATGTTTTGGGAGGGGGGGGGGGTATATTGTTTGATCACGTTGATCACGTGAGGTTCCGTATCGCGATTCCCTTCNATCACGTTGATCACGTGAGGTTCCGTATCGCGATTCCCTTCTTGAGGGAAAGCTTCCGGAAAGATGATGCGAAACTGAAACGAACGAAGTACAGCAGTAGGAGCATGCTGGGCGACAAGACATGAAACCGGCTTCACGCAGCCTCAACACGCAAGAGCAGTGCCCTCAGCGGGTCGACACTGGTTAGTTGTTGTCGCTGTTGTGTACTTGCTGTCATGATTGTCTTTGCACACGATTAACATCCTAACCAGTGATTTGCGTGCAGAAAACAAGTTCTGACAAACACCAAGGTGTGTAGCGTGAATGAGGGGAGAAAGGCTTGGTCGAGAGCACGTAGTGTCTGCCCCACACGAAAAATCCCGAGCGCAAGAGCGAGGGGCACTAACACTCGTCAGACCGAAGGGGAGTAATCGACTCCGGTGCAGCACGGCAAAGCCAAAAGCTGGGCAACATGCGCGATTGCATTTTAATAGTACGACTACTCGAGATCATAGAGCACCGTACTGGCGGTAGCAAACGACAACCAGCACAGCTAGTGAACTCGTCTTGCACCAAGGCACAGCCAAAACTCTCCTGGGAACGCCAAGCAAGGCGGACGGCAGTACCACCGACGCGGCGCTTATACGACACCGAAGTCAAACGGAAACCGTAACCAGCGGCAAACAACGAAGTGCAGTTGGCCCTCGCACCTTCCTTGGCGCACAACGTCCACCACGGCTACGATACTGGGCTTCTTCGAGGTAAACGGGGCTGCGAGGGAAGCATCCCCGGTTTTCACCTGGCACAACAGGCGTTTTCGGAGTTCGGTCCCATCAGCAGAATTCACCGGCAACACGGCACAATCAAGGTGTGCGCGATGGCGTTGAAGCACTTGAAAGGGTGGGTCGTGCGAGGATGTGCTCGTTGGCTACGCAAGGAATGCCTGGGAGGTCTGTCTGGATTGCTTCGCTAGTTTGCCGTGATACTTGCATGCCCCACTCGCAGACTCATAGGCACCTGCCGTGCGGTCTCGCCTCTCACTCAAACTAAAGTCACCGGTCGTGCGTTGTACTAAGTGTGGTTGTTGTATTTGCTGTGACAAAAAAAATAAATGCCGCTTGCCAAACAGAAGCACCAAAGCAAAAACCTGCAAGAAGAGCGAGAGATAGCGGCTGACCCCGCAAATGAACTTCCCCCGAAACCGGAACAAACTCGCCCTCCCTCAAATACCCTTCCACATTAAGCAATTGAGACACCAAACGCGAAACTAATTACCGATGGCCCGAAGGCAGCACACACGCCGTCGATACATAGGGAAACCTCTACTACTTACCACCCCGTCGGCACCCTCCGGTCCGTCCGAATCGGCGTCCTTGAGCATGGCCACCGCCGATGCGGCGAAATCACCGTGCGAGGCTTTCTTCCGCTGGATGTCCCTCATGCTCCGCTTCTTGTTGGCTGCCGAGGAGGCTTTCCACATGGCCTTGGCGGGGTTGACGCCCTCGCTGCGCAGCCGGTCGAACTCCTCCGTGATGTCGGCCTGAGAAAAAACGAAATCAGCCCGTGCATGGAAACACGGATTTAGGTCGCCGTTTCTGGTGCGAGTTCACACGTTTCGACCGCGAGAGTGGTGCGAGTGCGCAGAAGGGAACAACAACACGGGAGGAACGCGGGGGTACGTGGAGAATCAACACTCACTTCGGGCTGGGAGCAAAAAAGGAAAGGGCAAAACATAAAGAGGTACAGCTCGAACCACACAGCAGCAGTTGAGACTCTAGCAGGACGGGCGGGAAAGGTTCGGCATGAAGTACATACAGCAACAGGTCGGCGCCTGTCGTCCTCGTGTGTCCACGCCTTTTCAACTTAACCCGCTGGGCCTAGCAGCAACAGCAACAGCAATAGCACCAACGGCAACCAGAGGAACGAAGAAGCAGTACAAGGGGAACAAGCTCCTCATGTCCACTATCAGCATGGCAAAACACCCTTCCTACAGGCGGTACTACGTCCGTGAATGAATGGCAATGGCAACGATGAGCTGAGTTTTGAGTGTTTGTCATCAAATTCTGAACGCCAACATCACTACAACTCTCGGAGTGTTTTTGGTGCGGACACGTCACCCGGATCCCACCGGAAGAAGGACATTCGGTTTTATCACTCCATTTTTCTCCTGGAGCCTCGTTCATTGACGAACCGTGCCGACGTGTAATATTGCAACCTCACATACGAGTGGTTCAACCAGCGAGGGCAAGCTACCGACGTCACAGGCTAACCTCTCGTTAAGGCGCACACACACAAAAAAGCTCCAACAAACGAGTTTCTCGTGACATGGCTCGTGTGTGCGAACATAAAAGCACCTGCGTTGACTGTCGAGCTCTTCTAGGATATGACCGAGTGACGTCACTACTGCGGTGACCACCCCAACAAAACCTCTCTCATTGCCACGCTCCTCCCCCCCACTTCTCTCTCGCGACTGTATCGGCACTGGAACGACGTTACTACATCCACGGAACAATAACCCGGTTCATACCTGGACCTTCTCTCGCTCTTCCTTCAAAATCTCCGCGGCGTTCTTTCCCTCCAGCGCCCCGGCCCGGGCGCCACCGCCGCCGCTCTTGACGGTTTCATCCTTGCTCTTGTCGGTCGTTGCCCCACCATCGGAATCGGAGGTCAACAACGGTGCCTCGCTCTTGCTCTCGTCGGTATTAGCGTCACCGAATCCGCTGAGGAGGGCGAGTCCCACGTGGGACCGTCGGAGGGCTCCGACGTCGTTCGACCCATCCCCGCACCTGGAAGTTCGTAGAACGTATCGATTGGTACTGGGACCAACACCGTCACCGCGTGAAGGGGCGGTCGCCACGCAAGAGCTTACGCCACGGCAACAGCTGAATTGGGGGCTTTTAGTCCCATGTGAATCCTGCTCAGTACCCTCCAGTTCCCGCCGGGCCGGTCTGTCCGATCGACGCAGACCGCCTTTCGCGGTACCATTGCGAAGGCGCAACGCCGTCCAATCCACAAAACTCGATGCTCCCGCTGGCTGGACGACGAGGGTACTGAAAGAGAGGGGCAACAACGACTACGACAAAAACGACCGACAGCAACAACGAAGACAGGTTCGACCGCTCACATAAGCACGGTTTTTCCGGCCTCCATAAGCAAGGTCGCCAGCTCCTCCTTGAGTCCGGGGGTCATCCGCGCCAGCACGCGGAAGTGATGTATGGCGCTGTTTTTATATTTCGGGGAAAGAGCCAAGAGAGACGAAAAATGGGGGCGTTTCGGCACGCCAAACTGCTCACACATGAGCCAGGTAAGTAGTTAGTGTCTGCCAGCGCGACACTGTTTCTACCAAGGTTGAAAGTCACCAGCCAACGACTTCCAGGCACCAACATCGACTGACCAGTGGGACAGGTCAACAGCGTCGACAACACGAGAGTTTACGGGAACGCGTTTCAACAGAGCAACCCCCACGTTGTTGGTCACGCCGCAGTAGCAGGGCGAAAACAACCAAGAGGTCAAAACCTGGGACATGAGGCCGGGCGAACCCCAGGCCCGCGCAGGACTCAAATATGAAGCAAAGTGGATGTGCACTGAAGACGGTTGGTATAGTTGGCGGCTTCAACAGTCATGGACGCTGTGCACGTCAACAACCCTCCGCAAATAGCCAAGGTCTCGGTCACAAGGCAAAGCAACAGCAGGGGGAGGGAGGTAATTAACCCAGCTGGGCGCTAAATGGGCGAATACACGAAACCAGCGTCGAAGAGAGTTATGTTTCAGCACACAACGCCGGCGCCGTGAGCACGGAAGCCGAAGTGCCACCGACCTTCCCATGGCCGGGTCCTCCTCGCCGATGGCGAGGGCGAAGGCCGGTCCGGTGGCGCAGAGGTCGTGGGTCGCCGCCAACCCTTCCATGCCTCCCCAGCTAAACTCGATGCCCTCCTCACGGTCTCCGTCCAGCCCTTCCCCTCCGCCTGATGCTGCTGCTGCCTCTTCGGCGTCCGTCGCAGGTTCCTCGTGGGAGTCTTGTGCCTCGGCCCCTATTGCTTGGTCGGTGTTGGGGGCGCGCGGGTGCAAAGGGGCCCAGCGGAGTTCCTCCTGAGGGGATCGCGGGTGGCCGGGAGGGATAGAAGGGAGGGCGCCGATTGTGATCGTAGGGTACGGCCGCAGTTTGTTTACAGGAAATAGTGCCAATGGAGGAGAAAGTGACGCTTGCTCTCTCATTGGGACGGCGAAACGCTAGCGGGCAAGCACACCACCGACTGATTGGTTGGAAAGATGAGTTACGTCGGCGGCGCGTCGAAAGGCTGGCTTGGAGCACAGTTTGCAGGGAGTCGCATCTCCGGCGGCACAGATTATCGTGTGCAAACACTAACCTACAGAATTTGTACGAGTGTTTGCACCCACCCCCCTCCGGCGAGACCGACGTTCCAAGCTCGATTTCACCGAGATACTTTCAATGCGGGACAGGGTGGGTTTGGCAAGAAATCTCTTCGAGAGATATCCTAAGACGTGCCGGTCTGTTTTCGCACTAGCTCGGTTGTGGAGAAAATCGAGCCATGATTGGGAGGTGCACGATCACTCGCGCATCTACGGTACACAGGCACTAAACGCCAAACAGAGTAGATCATCGGACGGAGGCGGTCAAAGGTACACACATTCTTCGCAATTCACGTGCCCCAGGTATGCGAGCGGCAACATGGGCGACTTAAGACCACTTGTTAATCCCAGCCGGCAGATATATACAACCCCTTCATTATTCGGCCAGGACTCTGCGAAACGGCTCACCCCGTGGTCCGTAGGCACTACCGTCAGCAGCAGGGGAGTCTTCCCCTTCTCATCACTTCTTCTGGTCTCCTCTTCCTCGCCCCCGCCTTCGGCCTTCGTCGTCTTGACTTCCTTGCCTCCAGCTTTCTTCTTGGCTGATGTTGGTAATGACGTGGATGGTGACGGTTCGGCACACCCCGCGGCCGCCTCGATCTCACCGACTAGCCCCACCTCGCTGGCGACGTGGCAGGCCGTCATAACCGAGTCTCCTGTAACGATGGTCACCGAACAGCCGCCCGCGCGTCGCAGGTCTCGGATCTGCGGCAACACGACCAGAGCAACAACGAAACCAAAGAACAGTCGCGGAACGTTCGCCTCTCGAGGCAGAACCACAGCGACGTATTCCTCCAACCAAAAACACCGCACACGAGAGATCAATTTCACCGAGAGAGAGGGGGCACAAAAGAGAGCAATAAAATACTCGCTTCCGCGGCTATCTCACCACCCGTTTGCTGTCGGCTCTGGTCTTGCAGTGGAACGACAGGAAGCCGTCGAAAACCAGGGAACCTTCCTTTTCCACCTCTGCTCGGGACAGCGACGTCAAGGCGGCCTTTGCCCCTGCGGCGAGGCCACAAGAGAAAACCAGTCGATGATCGATGCTAGGACTTGGTTATTGGCCTGATTCGGCCGGCAGTGTGCCGGCAGAGCGCTCCGTCTCCCTCCACCAGCTCACGCTTCATGTGACCGGCCACAACGTTCGCCTTGTGCCGGCGTAACTATCAAAGCGTGCGGACGCATCGAGAAAACAGGGATCAAACGACACCTATTTCGACGCCGACTCCCTCCCACCTCCCTCCTCAGCCCTCACAATGACGCGCCAATCGCATCCCTCTCCAATCAGTTCGACCCTGGTCAGAGTGATACCAGGACCCCCAGCAGAAGACCGCCCCCGCAACTCGACACAGAGCGCCGAAAGCGGAGACACCGCCACGAGGCGGAAAAGATGGCAACGCCCTACAATTAGACCGATTTTCAAAGCTCGGTTTCTCCGCAACCAAGCTCGTGACAAGACCAAAAGTGGTGGTTTTGGAAACACATGTATGGCCGAGGGCTTTCCGTGGAAATAGCACGTACAGGGCTCATTCTGCTCCCACTTGGTTGAGGAGCCATCACGCTTTGAAATTCGGTCTATTACATAGGGGGTGTGCCATCTCGCTGCCTCTTGCGGAAACTGCGGGCGGGGTACGGAGCTAGGGGCGGTTTCGTTCAGGCGCCGCAGCAGGCGTGTCCTCACCTTTCGACTTCGACGGTCCGAGTGATCGATGCGCGAGAGCGACGACCCTCCTGCCCGTTCTGGCTAGGCGGTCGTACTCCTCCTCGTACCAGTCCGGCAGACCTTCGTTGTCGAGCAGAGCCTTCATGGACTCCGGACTTCCCTTGGATAGTACCCACGCCTGCTTGGGATTTCAGCGGCAGCAATGCGTCAAAGAGGTGCGTGACGATAGCAACAACCACCGATACAATAACAATAGCAGCAGCAGCAGCAGCAGCAGCAGCAGAAGCAGCAGCAGTGAAAACAACAACAACAACAACAACAACAACAACAACAACAACAACAACAACAACAGAAGCAACAACAACAGCAACAACGACAACAGCAACACACCGCGAAGCAAAACAAAAAACACCTGTCCAGCGCCATCATTGCCGCCGGGGCTGCCTTCTTTCATCGCCATTAGACTTACATTTCGCTGTGTCTTAAAAAGACGACAATAGTTCCTTTAGCATGTCAGTATACATCTCCCACGAGAAGTTATGGGCTTCTTGGCTAGGGGAATAGTTTGGTCGCGCGCACTCCTCCGGCTCCGCTACACAATAGCAGATCCGAGCCACGATTGCCGCCAATAACAGCTCAGGACAATCGAAATGATGAGTTTCCACGACACGATAGCACCCAAAAAATTAAGTCGTAGAACCGAAAAGCACGTGGAAGCCATGATAAATGCGCCACGAACCGCATTCTATTCGAAGGGGGGGGGGGGGGGGGGG